ATTGAACATGTATGTTGGCTGCATTGTTGTTCTGCCTAACATGCATGTAGCCTGGATTCCTAAGTAGCACATGGAGTGCCACCCTAGTACCACTATTGAGATCAGTTCTTGGACTCTGCATTGTCAAGAATAGCTTTAATTGTTTCATGGAATTATCCTATCCTATACATCCTACCATGTGTAAAGTAGGACCCTCTCATATTGTCAATAAGAACCGAGGTCCACATAGGTTAAGGCATTCAGGAAATTCAGAGTGTCATGGTTTGTTTGGAATCTATATATGACATGGACCCTGGCACACACTCTATTAACTGTCATGCATATTATGCAGCTTGCTAATGTCAGGACAAGGAGAAGAGCAAGCATTAAGTTACTGTTGTGTGGCTAAACGTTTGCCTTACTTCTTGTCTCAATACAAAGCTCTTTGCAGAACTGGATGCGTTACTTCGGAACTCAGCACTTTTCTTCCTCAACTTTGTTTTCCAGGAGTTATTACAATGAAGCTGCACATGTTGCAAAGACAAAGAAGGGAGAGAAAAAGAAACAAAGGAGAACATATCAACAATTATTAGGAGTGCATGAATGTGCCTGTGGAAGTACTAAGACAAAATAAATCAGACATCATTTTATTTTTAGTGACTTTTATTAGATTCTATTAACAGTTTTTAAGTCTCAAGTATAGCTACAATGTAATTTTTCACAAACTCAAACATTTTGAGCATTCATGGGTCTATGAAATTTGTAAACAGCATTCATATATACATGGCTACTTATTCATTTGCTGGGAGCAATTCTTGATTCATTTTCCTCAGGAAACTAATGACAGTGAAAACATATACTTAAAAATTGTTGGCTCTAAATGTAAGTTCTGAACCCCGGTCAATTAGTGACCATCTTTCTGACACTGCCCCCTCCTTTTCATTACTTTCATTAACATTCGATGAATTTGCTAGGATGCATGGCTTTATTTACATATGCATTTAATTTCCTCTCTTATAAAACTATCAAAACTCTACAAAAACATGCTAGACATTTATGATTGCAAAATGTGACAATTTGAATTTAGAAATAGCTCACAGATTTTACCCATAAAGAAGAGACAAAATAGTAAAGTGAGATTCTCCTTTTTCGACCCAAATTATGTGCATGGATTTGTGATCACATATGCTTTTTTTTATTTAATGCTAATTTATGTATTCTGGCTAGTCAGCATTCTATGTCAGCAGATAAAATAATTTCAGTGATTATGTGACTGGTAGCTTCAGTCGGGTGATATTTTATAATTAGTACAAACACTAGTCAATATGAAAAGGGGTGCAAGCTTGCTTTAAGCCTTTACTAAATGTTATCCTAGTGTCAAACACCATTTTAGGCTGGATGATGATGGTGCACACCTTTAATCTCAGCACTCAGGAGGCAGAAGCAGGCAGATCTCTATGAATTCAAGGCCAGCCTAATCTATAGAGTGAGTTCCAGAACTGTCAGGGCCATGGAGAGAAACCCTGTCTCAAAACCAAAAATATCATTTTTAATTGATACAGTGTCAGAAGTGGTAATTTTGAGGATGAATATACATGTATATATAAAACTTAATATCACTCTTAAAATTAGATAGTTTAGAATTAAATATTTTCAGCATGAAGTAGAAAAAAGAGAAACTTTATAACTGTTCCTTTTTTGCAATGCTAAACAATGTGTGTTGAGAAATCAACCACTGTAAAAAACATTAATAGCAAATCACAGATAATTTATACCAAAAACCTTCTCATACCATATCCATAAAATATTAACAATGTAGTTATATTTTCAATGGGTGCAACATAATGAAAAACTGATTTCAAATATTAAAGAAGACTAATTTCTTAATTGAATGTATTAAAACTTTTTACAAATGGATGGTTTTGTGTGGTTCCCCAATTAAGTTGACCAAACCTATTCTAGCCTCTTAACATATACACAGTGCTCTTCATTGTCTAGCTGAGTATTGTTTGGAATATTCCACAGAGATTTAAAAAGTAGCTCCCCAAACTAAGTTCAATGATTAAACAAGCATGTATGGAATTGTCAGGCTTACACTTAATTTGTTAGGTCCCTTAGACAAATGTGTGCAATAAGACTCTATAGGATGTTATAGAATGCACCACAGTGTGAAAACATTCTGGGGAAATTCTGTATAATTATATCTTTGTTTTTGTTTTTCTTGTAGGTTTGTTTCTTATCTCCCTTATATGTCTCTTTCTCCCTCATATGTCTCTTTATCTTTCTAGGGATGTTTAAACTTTTCTTTTTAACTGGGCAAGAAATAAAGAGTACGTATTTGATTACTTATATCATTTTTTTTACTTTTGAATTTCAAATTCTAATTGATGAAGTATGTATTTACTTCAAAGTTTCCCTCAGAATCTTCCAAAAAAAACTTTTTTTTTTTTTACTTATGTAGTTCAGCTTTTTTCCCTCTATGCAAAGGTAATGTGTTGGAGGAAAGATTTCATCTTCTCAGAATAAAATTATGTGAGAACTTGCCAGGAGCACTAGTGTTTACCAAGTGCTTTAAAAACATAAAGTAGATTTCTAATCCTTGCTAGGCTAGTTGCAACCAACTCAAAATGAGTATGCTTTTAAAACGATAAACCCAGGCTATTTTACTGTTCAATGCACAGTATATTTCTCATTGCAGATTACAATATTAAGGAGGAAGTGACATCTATGTTATTTACAGATGAAATAATGGAGGTTCAAAGGATCACTTCCACAATTAGGGAAGTTAGTGGTAATAGAGCTGATGAAACTTACTCTTTGAATGCTGTTTCATTCATCCTAAACACCTGGTGGGTATGTGTTAAAAGCCTGGTGTACCTTGTAACTTGGAAAGCTGCCAAACACATTAAGGGTTGTATTTAAGAGATGCAGTACATATCATGCTCTGTTCATCTGCTCAAACAGGTGCTAGGGTATCAAGTAGCTAATTGCATTTCAGGATACATTTCATTAAAAGGAAACCTTAAATTTGCTTAGAGATAAATTATGACAGAACCAAAACTGTGTAAGAAGATGAATATGGCAACTGGTATTAAGAGTTGAGTCATTAGATGTCTTATTAGGCAATTTAGATTGAATAAATGTGAGTAAGTGGAATATTGTAAATTTATTTTTCTGTTCATAGTCTTAATGTTTTATATTGAGGAATGTGATATTTATATTTCAAATACTTTTTTTGAGGTGGTTATTGTACGTACAGATGGGATGTAAGAAAAATAGGTTAGCTGTTCTCAGTGAATCTGAAGTTCGAGCTAAGCAACTGAGGTGGGAGAAGAAGATTCCAAAGATGTCCATAAAGCAAGATGAATGCTAACCTATGCAAATGTAAGCGATTTCTTAAATAAGTATCCTACATAGGTTTTCAATCCCATGACATCTTATAGAAACCTATAAATTGCTTTTGATGCAATGTAGGATAAGTATGAGCACCTCAAAAAATATAAACTGAACTCTATTTTATGGATAAAGATTCTGACTCCCTAATGATAAGAAGTTTTGACAAAACCTCTGTACTAATTCCCATTACTTTTTTACAAAGAACTGCATTGCAAACCAAAGGCTAAATACTTGCACTGAATTCCAAATCATAGCTAATCCCATTTGTATTTGTGTTGGTGTGCATGTATGCGTGTATACCCAAATTCCTATATTTAGATGGGGTGCATGTTGAATTAAAATCTAGAGAAAAGATATGGAGGCAAATTAGAAAATGTTCTCCATGGTTTTCTGATTTGTTAATTGATTAAATCACCCTTGATTGCAGTAATAACTATCCCCTCCAGAGTACACTCACAATTCTTGCAGAATCATTTACCAATGCAAAAATAGCCATGTGTCAATGCTGCCCTCTGCTCCTTGGATCAGAACTAGTGGCTGTGTGCCTTTGAGAATATTTTGATAAAAAGAGAGTTTGGCATAGACCTCCGTGAAAGAGTCTTATTAACACCAGTGAGTCACCTTCATAGGCTGTAAACAGTAGATCAGAAATGAAGCTCTATTCCCTGCTTTCTTTCCCATCTTTTCCTTTGTCTTCCTTCTCTGTTTTGTCTGTTTCATATTTCTCTTGATCTGGCTTTGTGACACTGTCATACGAAGGTGGAGAGATGGCAGAGGCAGTTGCATCTGTCTTTTCTGGACTAGAGTTCTCGTTAATATTATCAAAAACTATATCTTCTTTATTGGGCAAGTCATCATCCCTATCTCCATCTTTTATGTATATACTTGATATATTCTTGACGTTTTGCCGAAGGCGGTACCTTCTGTAAGCCCGCTGAATGATAGTAGCGGACACATCCTCTTGTTTACGTTTTAGTGTGGTTGTAATGGGCTCATAGGACACTTTAGAAGGATTTGCAGACATAAACCTTTCTTCCATCTGTGAACGAAGAGAATCCATCTCTCCACTCTCACCCAGGACACGCTTTGTAAAAGCAAATAAGATGTCCAGGCAGTGGATGCGGTCTCCGCTCACCATGGGCAGATCCATGGCAATGAGCTGGACTTTGTTTGGCTTTGCGATGAGAAGGGGAGGATCGAGGGCAGCCGCAAAGTCAGACAGCTTGCAGAACTCTATGAACTGAGTGGCGTCAGGGTCGAACTTCTCCCAGACCTCATAGAACATCTCAAAGTCATCCTCACTCAGGGGTTCTGTACTTTCTTCAGTGGCAACGCTGAAGTTCTCCAGGATGACTGCGATGTACATGTTCACCACAACCAGAAAGGATATGATGATGTAGCTGACAAAGTAGAAAATCCCCACAGATGGGTTCCCACAGTCTCCTTCTACTGAACTTCCTGGATGAATTTTTTTTGGGTCACAGTCAGGAGGTGCACTGTTGAGGATGGGGGCCAGCAGCCCATCCCAGCCTGCGGAGGTGGTAATTTGGAACAAGCAGATCATGCTGTTGCCGAAGGTCTCAAAATTGAACATGTCATTAATTCCAGCTTCTTTTTTAACATAGGCAAAGTTGGACATCCCAAAGATGGCGTAGATGAACATGACCAGGAAAAGCAGGAGGCCGATGTTGAACAGCGCAGGAAGAGACATCATCAGAGCAAAGAGCAGCGTGCGTATCCCCTTGGCGCCTTTGATCAGGCGTAGAATTCGGCCAATCCTGGCCAGGCGGATGACTCGGAACAGGGTAGGGGACACAAAGTACTTCTCTATCATCTCGGCGAGAAACATTCCTATGTGGGAGGGAAAAATAAATGGAAATGTTTAGATATCCGTGTGGCACAATGTCATGATGGTATGGCATATGAAGCTAAATATGCCATCTTAAATTCAGAATTGCTATTTTATCTTGAATTCAGTATTTTAGCAAATAACTGCTTGTGACATTTTCCCATCTTAATTAAATTCACGGACACACTCCTCTTTATTTTTGTCTGTAAGATGTTTTCTATTCTCTGGAGACTAAAGTTGTGTTGTGAATAGAAAGGATTATGCATGCTCATGCTCAAAAATCTATTTCCAGGACTCAAGATGGAGCTCAGTGCTACAATCATCCATAAACTACATCCTACCCGTAAAACTCAAGAAGAAAAGAGAAGAGCAAATAGATAAAATTTTAAAAATTACACAAATTTTCTAACTTTATTTTATTTTTTAAGATTGAGTCTGACCATGTAAGCCTTGCCCTTAAAAGCTGACTGGAAATTGCATTTAGACAACGGCTGACCTGGAACTCAAGGAGATCTGCCTTCCTTTGTCTTCCCAGTGCTATAACTAAAGGTATACCACTCCAGCTGCCCCACATTTCAAATATCATCATTTGATTTTTATAGCTCTCAAACTGAGTAAATTACTAATTGTATATTTGTCTACTGCTTAGTTTCTCTAAATTCCTTGAACTTTAAATTTTAAACACCAGCACAGCAATTATCACTGCTATGTTTTTAGTGTATAACTACTACCACATGAAAAGTTTCACTGATAGTTTTTTGGAAATTATAAATTAATTTCATAAAACTAGTCACTGAGGCTGGAGTGGTTGCTCAGTGATTTTGGGCTCTTGTTGCTCTTGCAGAGGATCTGTGTTTGGTTGTCAGCATCTGTATCTGGCTCACAGCTGCCTGTAACTTCAGCTCTAGGGATTCTGACACCTTTTTCTGTCTAAGGCAGATACCCACACACACATGAGATATACTCACATAGATACACACTCATATTAGTAGAAATAAATAAAAAACTTCAGAAAGTCATAATTTCAATGACAGCCTTTGTAACCAAGCATAAGATAATCATTCAATTATTTCAGTCTTTTTGTTCTTTAATTGTCTCACAGAAATCTTCTACAATATATAGTAAATTTATTATAGATATCTTAACCAATTTTATTAAAATTTTGTTTGATAAATTTTATATTCTTGTGGTCAACATTTCAGAAAATTACCAGTGTTGATAGGTGCAGTTTATAGTTTGACTTTTCTGAACTCCAATTGATCTTTTAAAATGTTTGAGTTAAAAAAAATAGTTTGAAGACTAATAAAGTAGCCTAGGATGGTCTGGAACTCCATGTGCTCCTGGGAAAGCCTTCTTAATTATTGGATTACAGACAGGTGGTTCTATATGGTACAACTTTTAGCTTTTATGACTCTGTTTGATCAGCTATGAGTTTAATTACACAATTTCTTCTATCAAGAAATTTCAATGCTAAAATTTAAATGTAACTTGAAAATATTAGGTATGTAGAGACAGAGAACAGGAAAGAGATGGTGGTGAAAACAGAGGACATATAAAAACTGTGTTATACAGACGTAAGCTGCTAGCTGACAAATAACCAAAGTTTATAGACTGGCCAAATTTATAGTTTTAAGGGATGAAAATGGCAGTTCAGGGTGAACTTAACAGCCAAAAATATGTTGGTGTCCCCACACCTATTAAAATTAAAATTAATAGTGCATTCTTCATTAGCTCCCAGGATGCTCCTACAGATAGATATTTATTTGCAAACTTCTAGAGGCAGACTTGGGGACTAATCTCAACAGGAATTCATTCTGACAAACTCAATATTTGGCTTCCAGGGCTTGGGCTTGAACTTGAGAAATCTGACATGGAAATTTGCTTTCTTCCTAAATCTCTTTCATTTTTTCATGCTCTTAACACTTGAAAGTAAAACAGATCTCAAGCATGCAGGCACTTCTTTGATCAGTGTGGACTTTATCCACAATTAAAATTTGATTAATACATGTCCTTACCTACAATAGAGAGGATCACTACCACAAAATCAAAGATGTTCCATCCCACAGTGAAGTAGTAATGTCTGAGTGAGATCAGCTTCAGCACACACTCCCCAGTGAACAGGATAATGAAGACCATGTTGATCCAGTACAAAACATCTGTCATGTACTGACTTTGCCCTTCCTTTTCCACCATCATGGTTACCATGTTGAGGCAAATAAGAACCATGATAGTGATATCAAAAGCTTGATTTGTCACTACGTCAAAAATACATCCTTGGAATTTGTTCTGTAAAACAAACCAAAAAAATGATACAGGATACAGAATAAGTTCCCAAGTGTTATGTGAATATTAAAATATACAAAGGATCTGGAATGAGTTGGGGAGGGAAAAAAACATGATCAAGATTTAATGTACATAAAATTAATTAAAGAAATGTTATAAAAATGGTAAAAATATATTACAGATTTAAAATAATTTGGCAATGAACACAGGAGAATTTTGCATATGTGAGTGTGTGTGCGTAGACACACATACATACACACACACACACACACACATACACACACACACATTACATATTTACCCCTGGCCTAGGAATTGGTTTTTGTGGTTTTTTGGATCCCAACTTCTTCATTGCATTATAGTATTTCTTCTGTTCTTCTGTCATAAAGATATCTTGACCTCCAAGGTAGAGGAATAAAAGAAAAATCTATTTAAAATCAGAATCAATAAGCAGTTCTTTCTTCTGATTCACAAAAGGGTCAAATACTTAAATAGAGATGAAATTCACTTTGTTATGTACTTAGGAGCTATACATAAGGTTCCATAAAAGGAATACCAATGTATAAACATGGTCATAATATAATTCACATATGTAAAGTATAAATATTACATATAACAATGACTGGCTAGATTTCCTTTCCATATACTAACCTGTGCTATTTTTGTCTATTTGCTGAGGTATTATTTCCCCTGCTAATTTTCTTAGTAGAGAATATTTCTGCCAAATAACAGATTGGAAAGTTGTAAAAATGTCTTTCATGCTTTGGCTGACATTTAGAACTCTAATTGGGAGTAGAGTTCTACAACAGCAATCAATGTAGTATTAATTTTCTATTAATTTATATTTATTTCCCCATGTCACCATTTCATAAATGGAGAAAAGAAATTAGAGACAATTCTAGAAAACTATGTCTAACAATGTCAGCATCCTTGTATGTGCACTTCAAATTTTACAGAAAATTATCTTCATCTTGTGGGTATAACATGTCTATGAAACATAAATAGTTGTCTTTTAGTTTTGGTATTTGTCTCAAACCTGCAATATCTGATTATGTATATTAATATATTTAAAAACTTAAGAAAATATAACGTATGAAACTTGTGGCTCCACAATTTTGAATGGAGGATGTTTTAGTGTAGTTTCTATTAGCCTTCCTCAAAAGGATGTAGGTGTTAACAAAAAGATTGTCATTACTTAGAATTTATACACAGGTGCCCACATCCATATTCAGCAACTGCTTCTTCTTAGTTTTCCATTCTATAACTTGTACTTATTTACAACTTACCTACTCACCTTTAGTTGTATGCTTATGACTAATTATAAAAATTAAAATGTCACAGGAATTTTTTAATGATGAAGAAAGTGCTTAAAGAGATGATGTTGAGGAAACTGCTAAAATGGGAGTACATTTTCAAAAGGGTGGGGAGAGTCATAAACTGAAATTAAAATACTTACATTTTAAGTATTTAAGAGCTACATTGAATCCTGGATAAAATATGGGCTTTGCACCAGACTGACCTCTTCTTGTGCATGTGGTAGTGAATTCTGTGCACTAGTAACATGCCAATACATGCACATATGTATCTATAGATTCCAAGCTGGAACCTAAAATAATTTTCTCTAGTAATCCTATTCCTAATTCTCAAAGAACATCTTTTCTTGTAGTTGGTACCCAAACCATAGTAATTCAATTAATTGCAAAGAAACTTAAGACATAGATTCTATTCTTTTACAGTCCAAAAATAGCCATATAGTCATTCTTTGATAAAATGTCTTTATTGAATATGTTCATTATTATCTATTGTCATGGTGGGCTATTTTGGGTATTATAAGAATAGCTCAGGCGACAGGGTCTCAGCTCAGATTAAACAGACAAGAAACTGACCAGAAACAGAAAACTTCTTATCAAAGTCCAGTTTCATAATCTGTGCATGAAGTAACTCTGGGTCTTGGTTTATGATGAAGCTACTCTCTAGGGCCAGACTATACAAATGTTGCATAATCTCTCTAAGTAGAGGTCATTCCTCTATATTACACACTTTATGAAGCATTTTGTGCAGTTTTAGGTTTTAAAAAATCACAATAATGTCAGTGTCCTGTTTGCATGGTATTCCTTGCTTGAAATGCCCTATGGCATATGAACAATATTTAATTAATAAGGATTTTCAAATCTGCTTTCCCAAAGCTACAAACATCACGAATACTTATATTTCTACCTTCAAATATAAATTCCATATTAACCTAATGAGTTGCTCTTCATCTTGAATTGTTACCTCCTTTATTAGAGCTAGAATCCACTCATATATTTCTGTTCTCTTTTATCAAGACTGTTCACCCTTTAACCTCCCAGTTGCTGCATTTCCTCTTAACTACCTTCAGAGGATATATCAAATACCACACATAACTGAATCTGTTTTTCTGACTGCCCCTGTGCAGTTTTGTGAAAATTTCTTATTGCACTCTTCACTATTTCATATGTGCAAGTTCTGAAGCTACAGTTCAGTGGATGGAATAAAAGAGTAGATTAAATATTCAACAAATGAGACATGTATTACTGATTCCATTTAGTCTGTATTACTGATTAGGCATCTGATTTACTCGCCCTGTTGTACCTTTCCTCTTCTCCACTTTCCTCCCTCACTTTTGGATATTTATTTATTTAAAACCATTTT